TGTCATTCCTACTTTTATTTTTCAGGAATGTCTTTTTGTCACTTCCAGCTGGATCTACCATGAAAGACTTTAGAGTCCAGGAAGAGACTGACTGGGCAGCAGGTTATTCAGGTACAAAAGATTTGGACAATAACTCAAAAGTGATCAAATAATAGTGCATGCGTCCAGTGCAATGGGAAGCACTTCTGGAGGGCGAGAGCAGCTTCCAGATGAGGTGACACTGAAGCCGGGGTTTGGAGGATGAGGAACAGCTGTATGAGAGTGGGGAGGGAAGGGAGAGGTGGAGGCATGGGGAGCGGCTGGGGTGGGATAGAGTGTTCCCGGCAGGGAAAGCAACTCTGTGAAGGCCTGGACAATTAAGATGGCACATTTTGCACAGGGAATGGTGAATTAAGTGTGGCAGGAATACTTTGGAGAGAGAGTAATTTGCTTGTATAGAATTTCGCCCAAGAGACCTCATTACAGTTTCTAATCTTGTGATGTCATCATCCATCACTGTCCCTGTCAAATAGTTTGGAATAGCTGTGGTGATCACAATAACATCAAGCGTATTATTTCATGAATTCTCCCAAAATCACAGGCAGGTGCCACAGTTAGCCCCATTTTCTGAATGAAGTGATGAAGACTTGATAATGAGTGCTTCGCCCAAGCTCACATGGATACTAAGACTGAGTCAGATGCAGGGCCTGGTGTGACTTTAATGCCTGCTCTGTTCATGAGCACCACGTATTGCTTCTCCTATGCAGTTAAGCAGGTAGGTGAAAAAAAAAAGCCTGTGTTTCTCTCTAGTCACACACTTCTGACTGAATGCGTGTGTGGAGCTTCTACACCAAATTCTCCAGTGCTCTGGATATTAACTTGGTATCCCACAATATTGTTCTGACACTACCTGGAGCTGGTGCAGACCCCACGGGTTAGGGGCTCAGTCCCACGAGACCACCCTCACTTCACATGCCAGTGGTAAGTACTAGGTTGTCACCTGTACTTTTGACCAACCTGTTACAAATCAGGGGTTTCCATGACCCCCTTCTTGGATTTAGTCATTTCCTAGAACAGCTTGCAGAACTCAGAAAAACAGCTGTTTTCTTTTTTTCTGAGAGACAAGGTCTCATTTTGTTGCCCAGGCTGGTGTGCAGTGTGCAGTCATAGCTCACTGCAGCCTCGACTGCCTGGGTTTAAGTGGTCCTCCCACCTCGGCCTCCCTAGTAGCTGAGACCACACGCCTGCACCACCACGTCTGGCTAATTTATTTTATTTTTTGTTGAGATGGGGTCTTGTTTTGTTGCTCAGGCTGGCCACAAATTCCTGGGTCCAAGCAATTCTCCCACCTTAATCACTTAAAGTGCTGGGATTACAGATGTGAGCCACCACATCTGGTCAGTTCATTTCCTATTCCTGGTTCACCGTAAAGGACACATCTCAGAAACAGCCAGTGAAGGAGATGTGCATGCTGGGTGCTGTGGCTCACGCCTGTGATCCCAGCACTTTGGGAGGTCAAGGTGGGAGGGTCGCTTAAACTCAGGAGTTTGAGATCAGCCTGGACAACATGGGGAAACCCTGTCTCTATAAAAAAATACAAATATTAGCCAGGCATGGTGATACGTGCCTGTAATCCGAGCTACTCAGGAGGCTGAGGCAGGAGAATCACTTGAACCCAGGATGCAGAGGTTGTAGTGCAGCTAAGATCACACTACTGCACTCCAGCCTGGGCTACTAAGCGAGACTTCATCTCAGAAATAAAATAAAATAAAATAAATAAATAACCAGGCGCGGTGGTGTGCACCTGTAGTTCCAGCTACTAGGAAAACTGAGGTGAGGATGCCTTGAGCTGGGGACTCGGGAAGCTTAGGTTGAAGTGAGCTAAGACTGTGCCACTGCACTCTATCCTGGACAAAAGAGCCAGACCCTGTCTCAAAAAGCAAGAAAGCAAGAAACAGGGAGGGAGGGAAGGAAGGAAGGAGAAAGAAAGAGATGGACGCCTAGGGGAAGGTAAGTGGGGAAGGGCACAGAGCTTCTATGCCCTCTGTTAAACATGCCACCCTCCCAGCACCTCCTGTGTTCAGCAACTCAGAAGCTCTGCAAACCCTGTTGTTCAGGGTGTTTATGGAGGCTCTATTATGCAAGCACAACTGAGAAAATCTTTGTCTCTGGTGATTAGGTCAACCTCCAGCCCCTCTTGCCTCCTGGAGTTCAGCAGGTGAGGCTGAAGGTTTCAAGCCTCTAATCATGTGGTTGCTTCCTCTGGCAATCAGCCCTCCTTCTGAAGAAATCTAGGAGCATGTAGCCACCAAGTCCTCTCAGCCACATCCCCAAATGCATTCTTATCATGCTGGAGATCCCAAAGTTCTTAGAGGCTATTGTGTTAAAAAGCTGAGACCAAGACCAAATATTAAAACTGAAGATGCTCCTGTCACCTCTATCACTGAGGTCTTTATAAGCTTTAGAAGCTCAGTGCCAGGAACCAGGGACAGAGACCAAATATATATTTCTTTTTTTTTTTTCAGACAGAATTTCCCTATGTCATCCAGGCTGGAGTCCAGTGGTGTGATCATAGCTCACTATAGCTTTGACCTCCTGAGCTCAACTGATCTTCCCACCTCAGTCTCCCAAGTAGCTGGGACTACACATGCATGTCACTCATGCCCAGCTCATTTGTGTAGAGACGAGGTTTAGTTATGTCACTCAGGCTGATCTCAGACTCCTGGGCTAAAGTCATCATCTCACCTCAGCCTCTCAAGTAGCTGGGACTACAGGCACTCACTACCATGTCCAGCTAATAATATTTTTATGCTTTTGTAGTGGAGGGGTCTCACTGCATTGTCCAGGCTAGTTTCAAACTCTGGGCCCCAAGTGTTCCTCCTACCTTGGCCTCCCAAAGTGTTGGGATTATGGGTGGAAGCCACCATGCCCAGCAATCACAAGGGTCTTTACAAAAGAAAGAGGGTAGGAGAGTCAGAACTGGAGCAGCAGATGCAGTGATGGAAGCAGAGGCCAGAGAGGGAGATTTGAAGATGCTTCACTTCTGGCTTTGAAGGTGGAGTCAGGGGCCATGATCCAAGGGATGGAGGTGGCTTCCAGAAGCTGGAAAACACAAGGGAACACTTCAGAGCCTCCAGAAGGAATGCAGCCCTGCTGACACTTTGACTTTAGCTTTAATAGACCTAGTTTGAGCTCCTGACCCCCCAGAACTGTAAGATGGTAGATCTGTGG